GCCGGAGATGGGGCTGGCACAGCTATGGCAGGGCAGCACAAGGGCCCAGCCCAGAGGGAAAGAGAGGGAAGGAAAAGAGGCAGAAGAGCCATTTTGTGGGCTCTGCTCGGCTGCCTCTGCCACAGGACGTGTTTGCACAGGGTCACCCGGGACACAGAGCATGACCCGGCCCAGCAGGGTCCCCGGGCAGAAGACCATCCCTGCTCCAGTGCCAGCGTGACAAGGCCAAGCTAAACCCCCGGGGCAGCCTTTGTCCAGTGCCCCGTGGCCCCTGAGCGTGATTTATGTCCCAGGTTTAACAACATTTCATTTCAGCAGCCGTGCTCCGACGTCCACAGGCCCCTGAGCAAGCGAAGGGGTAACTGCTGATAACGACAGCCAGCGCCGTGCTCTGCCGCCCGCTCGCTGCACGCGGAGTTGTGATTTTTTTTTCCCCTGGTAGCACAATATGGCAAATAAACAATCCTTCCCCACTGACAGCTGTGGAAAGAGCTTATGCAGTGCACCCAGAGCCACCCGCGTCATCGAGGTGGGAGTCCCCAGCCCAGCCCCAGCAGGAGGCTCCAGAAGAGGTGCCGTAGGAGCAGCCGCTCCAATAGCAAAATCCAGGTGCTGCCAGGGACAGGGCACACGGCACAGGAGCACCCCAGCAGCTTTGCAGCCTTGCACGCTCCTGCAGAGGCTCCTCTAGGGTCCCTCTTGTCTGGCCATTGCTTGGTGAAGAGCATGAATGCAGCGACCAAAGGAAACCACGGGCAGAAGACCTGGGGGATAGAGCATGGAGCAGTCTCCAAAATAAAGGAGTTCCCTGAACCACATAACCGGGGCAGGATGCGGACTGAAGAACAAACTGCAGGGAACAACCCTTGGCCAAGAAGGGCTGTGAGGGTGACCTCCATAACCTGCACAGCTCTCCGTCCTGTTCCCTGGCTTCAGGAACTCTCATTCCTGACTTTCCCCGAACAATCAAGTACCATTTCTCCAGGGTGAGACTCTTCTCCCATAAAACCAACCCTTGAGCCTGCTGTGCAAGATTAGCAGTGGCATCACGCTTTTAGCTGACTTCCCATATCACATCAATCGGCTTTCTTCCCTCTGCCTTCCTCTGGGGCTCTGTGTGTTGATACCCCACAGTAAATCCCCAGCCCACATCACCTCATTGCACAGGTCCCCACTCCGCCTGTTGCAGACCAGCTACTTCCACGCTGACCTTCCTCTCCTGCTGGCTATGCCGACGGGCTCACCCTGCTCCGATTTGCCTGATGGTCCCACGATGCAGAGGAGCAAGAGCAGCCCCAGCACAGACTGGGTGCAGCAGAGGCATCCGTGGGACTGGCTGCCCTGTGATATATGCATCTTATATTGCCGAGTTTTCCTTTCAGCCTTATCGGCATGATGGATAGTTTAGCCATGGTGCAGTACCAGATAGTAATAACAATGGCCATGATTACTATTTTTCATATTTTCTTTAAGAGCAATATGATATTACCAGGCTTCATGCGTGTCACTTTGTTTATTAGCTACCATTTAGTAATCTCTTCCATCTTGGCTTTATTAAAGTTAGAGGCGCTGTTGGGCTGCGGGCTGGGGGGACAGCAGGGGCTCAAGGGACAGCCACCCTGGGAAGACACTCACTTGCATCCACGCCGAGCCCAGCGCCACAGCTCATGTGCATTTCACGCGCAGACATGTCCTGCTGGGTCAGACCTAAGCCTTGCTCCCTTCTTTGAGGTGCTCCAGCTGTAGGAAGGGGCTTCATGTGTGTTATTTATGGTCATACGTATCAGAGTAGGGAAAAGTAGCCCCAGCAAAAATAATAAAAAAAAAAGAGAACTGAATCAAATGAAAATAAAGTAAAATAGAATAGTAAAATACCAAAGCTCCTCCCTACTCCACACTACTCATGCAGTCTGTTTAAACAGTTTTTACCAGACCACCAGAAACCGAGGTACCTGGGTTACAGCAAGCAGCTCCGGAGGGAAGCCGTGCAAAGAGCACAGTGATGTGACACGGGGGCTGACCTGGAACCCCATGGAAGATGGGAAGCAGAGCCATGCTCTCCAGGTCGCACAAGCTGACACGGAAAGGCCATTACCCTTTGACAAGGTCACCTTGAGGCGAAGGCACTGACTGCCCTGAGGGCTGCACCCCTGCAGATATCCCTCACCCAGCACAGCCTGCAGTGTGGGACGGCTCCTTGCATGCTCCAGGACCCAGCAGGCTGCCCACACCCCGCTGGAGCTGGGATACAGGGGGGAAGAATGGTGCTGGGGGGGACAGAGAGATGGGGGCGGGGGGGGGGGGGCCCCAGTGACCTGGGGGAGTCATTTGCGAGGGGGAGGACTTTGGGACTGGCCAGGCTGCGTGCCCGTCACGGTTCATTTGCTATGGGAAGCAGGGAGTGATTCATTTGGAAAGCTTCTACGCTGCGACTGCACGGGGTTCGTATGCCCCCGAGATGGCAGAGGGCACCGCGCAGCCTTGATTTGCAAATCTACGTGCCACCCACTTGTCATCATTAAAGCTTACTGGATGTGCTAGGTAAAGGCTATGGTGTTCAGCCTGGACTAATGTGCTCTCTGGCTTTTTCTGCAGCTGGATATGAAAGAGCGTGTTTGCTTCATACCCTGAGTTCTTGCAGTTTTGCACATCATTTACCCTCACTGACCCCTTTTCCACCTCCAGCCAACCTAATGGTGGCGTATTTAAATGCCAGATGTTGGCTCCCCAGCACTTCTGAGAGCACCCTTTGGGACGGGAACTGCTCCGAGGCTCCAATGTTGTATTCCATACAAGAGGAGCCAAAAGTTGCCCATCAGTTCCACACCTCTGGCCCCAGCTCTTACCCCCCCCTTGTCAGCCCCGAGGAAGAGCTGGTGGGCTCAGGGGTCTGCTGCAGGACCAACGTGTGGTGCCTGCGCCAAACTTCACTCGCAGCCGAAGCCGGGCAGATGGCAGCCCCCGTGCCACCCGCAAGCAGAGCAGCAGAGGCTGTGTTTGCTGGGGGTGAAAACACCAATAAGTGCAGGTTGGAAGGAGAGGCCAAGTGCACGGAGCTAAGCCAGGTTACCCATGTTTGACAACCAGAAATTGGGATGAGAAAGTGTCTTTTCAAAACCCTTTTAACACATTCACCTTTGAGAGCTTTTCAGCAAAAAGGCAAGGCAGGAATATTAAAGGGTCAAACTCCGGGTGTTTGCTTGTTCTTTCCTCAGGCAAACCCTCATTGATTGACTGTGGGAAGGTGAGAGCTGAGCTGGACTGAGGGAGGAGTCCCACTGCTAACACTGACGCCCGCAGCCTCCCAGCAGAGACCAGTGTCAACAGGCAAAGCTCTCCCAAATACCCCCTGCACTCTGCCTGCTGCACACTGCCAAAAACTACAGTCTGAGGGGCTGCTGGGTCCCCAACACTTTTAGAGCCAGAACCTCCCTCAGGCAGCAGGACTAGCAGTTGTGTGGTGGGATTTTTTGGGGGGGTGAAAGAACACACATGGCCGAGAGTGGGCGGGGGGCTTGGCAGTCAACGCAAACGCCAGCGGCGGGGAGGCTCTCTGCAACATGGGATCCTCTGGAAATGAGGGACATGACCAGGCTCTCACTGTGGGGTGAGCTTTCACGTGCAGATGGTTAGTGAGACCCAGACTCTGGTCGGTACATCCAGGCGTGGACAGGCAAAGGCATTGCAGGGGCAGCTACAAGATGAGGATTTGCAGTCAGTGACCATTGCCAGAGGGTCTCCTGGACTTTACTGGATGCACCAGGGCAATTTTTTGAGCAGGGCTCTGCTTGTGAGATGAACAAGACAGGGTCCACCCACACTGTCCAGCCTACAAGCTGTAAGTGCCTAAGGAAGGCACTGATTCAGGCAGGCTGCTCACATGAGCAGAGATTACTCATGTACGGGCTGCAGGACCAATACTCCAGGGCCCCTATGACTCTGTGTCAACTCAGGAGTCTCGTCACTGCAATTACTACCACTCCATTCCCTGACGTCATCACACAACTTGGAAGTGAGGGGAATCTCTGACCTGTCATTGCACAGCTTGGGGACAAGCTTCATGACAACACTGAGTCTTACTGGGGCTTCTTTTTTTTTGCTCTTAGCAAAGATGCGAGAGCACATCACTCCTGCTGCTTCCCCCATGGTAGGAAGGTCTCGGAGAGCTAACCTCGGGGTCAGGCCACTGACTGAACAGGGGACCAAAAACCCAAGTTCAGTAATTCCTCGTCCACAACTCTGCCAATCACACACCACTTCTTGACAGTCCTGATCCAGCCAGCTGTACCTACACTCTTGTGCACATACACAATCGCCATCATAAGCCACATGTCTGTAGTCACTAACTTACCATGCCCAAGCACACCTGCAGTCAGGTACCTTTTCTGGATTATATGTCTTCCCTCTCCCACACAGACAGCAAGAGAATTGGTTCCTCAGGGACTGGCACACGTGTTCACCCACACTCCATCCCCTGCTTCCCTTCCCACGGAAATGGACTCACTGCAAGGTGGAGTCTCGCACCCGTGCAAGCTGGGAAACTGCATGCAAACTGGGAGGGTGCATGGTCTGCTTGCACCTGGGTCTCAGGCACAGCCTGGTGCCTGAGTAATGACCCTCAGCTTAGCAAGCTTGCTGGCAGCTGAGGGACAGTCCCATCCTGTCCTTTGTGTCCCCTTTCACAGAGACAGTTTATGAGAAAGGTGAAAGGATCTGAGCAGGCACCTCAATCCACCCCTCCTGGCTACAGGAATCTTCACAAGCAGCAGAGACATCTCCCAGGATCCCAAATACGTCTCACATAAGGGAGGCCTCTGGTTGAGACTTCCTGGTAGAAACTTCTTGGGGAGGTGAAAAAACAAGAGGCTATTTCATTTGGCCTGCAATGAGTTACCGGCACCGCCTGGAATCACTCACTCAGTGGAGAAATGGAAACAGGAATGAGTTTAGAGGCAAAACCATCACCTTGAGTACACAGCCAGGCATCCCTCCCCCAAAGTTCTTTGATGCAACACATTTATTTTGCTGTGTGGCAGTGCTGTACAGTACACATACATTACCAGCAGTTTCAGAGCCCTGAGTTGTCATTCCTCCCACCTTCCCTGGATTTCAGAAAAGAGGCAAGACCACTGTCCCCTTCCCCCATTTCACCTGCAAGGAAACAGGCCAGGAAAAGTCCAAAAACACAGAGGCACTTGCTGACAGGACTGAAGACGAACCTCAGAAAGCTGGACTCCCAGTCCAACACTCTTACCATTGGGGCCCCTTTCCCTGGTTCTGGGAGAAGAAGCCCTAGGGCCAGCTCTCCAGAAGGTCTCACTCCTCTGAGAAACTCTCTGCAGGAGACTACGGAGATTGCAAAAACTAATATAAACCCTACTGGATTTTAAAGGAACTTACCACCTCTCTCTGAAGGTCTGAGAAATGTTTTGGGGCATTCTAGACACGGTTGGGATTCTTTTAAATTCTGTGAGATTGTTTAAGAATGAGCCAAAGAGTCTTTTGCTTCCAGTGCAGTCCCACTGGAATCCGAGTGGAATTTCCGCTGCTCAGATTGGGAAAGAAAGTACCCTGTCCTTCCTGACAACTGGTATCCCACACCTCCTTTTCCTAAACCACGAAACGGCAGAGCTCCGGTACCGACTCCACCTCTCAATGCCACAGAAAAAGCTAATGCTGTAACAGGCAAGGACAGCGCAGCATGTAACATGGAACAAGACCCAAAAATAGCCCACAGAATAGACGGAAACAGTCAGGAAGGCAAATGTGCCGTGGAGAGCAGAAGGGAGGGAGGGAGCACCCGGGCCTTTCCCACCAGTTCATGTCAGTATGGGGAATGGTGCATCCGGCTCAGGAGAGCAATGACCCAGTTCCCCAGCCGGGACCCCTTCAGCCACAGGAAGAGTTCATATAAGTTGATCTGCCACAGGCTCAGGGCTTCTGTGAATGAGATCTGGGCCCTCCTGTAAAGTGAGTGACTCTTGCTCCTCTGGTACCTGGAGGGAGAGAAACAGCTGCATTAGATCCAGCAGGATGCAGCCTGGCGGTAAGGAGGCCTGTCCTGCATCTTCAGTACGACCAACCCTCCCCAGAGAAGGGGAACATCCCACATCTGAAGAATCACCAGCAGTGGGGACCCCCAGGAGTAGGGATTTTCTCCAAGTAATGTTCCTGAGGAGCTGGGAATGAATCTGGCAGACAAGACAGCCTGCTCCCTTGTGAGCCTGGTTCTCTCCTCACTGTGCATAGTGACCCTGGGCCATGGCATCCTCTGCTTCTATGCGCAGCTTCACTTCAGCTAACAGGGGTAGGTGCACACCCCTATAGCCTTTCCTGGTAGCACACTCATAAGAGTCAAGCAATCCTGATACACTGATTCCAGTAAAAGTAATTCACCTTTCTTTAGAAGCAGAGGTTAACTGGGCTTCATAGCTCCCTCATCAGCCAGAGATTATAACTGTTTTTTCTTCTGCATGGAGGCTGAAGTGCATTGACTCATAAGACTCACAGATAGAAATCACTTGCACGACTCCTGTTCCTGGCTTTTAAACATCAGCCTGATCACAGTCAGCCCTAGTCCCTCAATCAGGCTGCAGGAACTGGCAGCAGTGAACTTGCAGGTCTTCTTTACCCACAAGTACTTCCCAGTGCTGATGCCTGCAATGGGCAGGAAGCCCCTTCTCCTCCTCTGCAGGGGCCAAACCCTAATCCCTTACCCTAAGGCCTCCAACTCCTTCCCCATCCCCAGCCTCAGGGTGACAGACCTGAAGCTGGCTGATGGGCATGTGAACAGCATAGTCAGAGGCTGAGATGTGTAACTGAGCAGGGGTAGGACCAGCAGATGTGCTAATGAGGAAGACAGGTCCACAGCTAAGAGTAAGAGGTCAGTAGGTCAAGTTAGACCTTGTCAGGGCCCTGCCTGGGGGGCTCTAATTACCCTTAATGACCTTGAGTAGTCTGGGACCTCCCCCAGTCTTCTGCTCATAGGCCCAGGAGCTCCAGTTAATCTCAGGCCTGCACCTTCAGTCCCTGCCTGAGGTAGACTGGTGGAGTAATGGTCCCCAGCTCATGCCCTGCTATGAAGCCCCTTGATCGGGACCTCAACTCACATACTGACCTCTTGGCGTGACCTCAGCCTTGTCTTGTCACCACAGACCTGATCTACATCACTGGACCTGATCTACAGATTGACCTTCTCATTTGACCTTAGACTGGCCCTGTCCATGTTGCATTATGCTGCATTATATTGCATTATGATATAGACTTTTGATTGGACCTGACCACCATCTCAGGGTCTTTCCTGCTCACCTTGTTCACTACTCCAGGACTGGGCTTTGGCTGGCCTGCTGATGCCACATTTCCCCCCCACCAGGTCCTGGCCCCCAGGGACAGCCAGCCCCTGCTGCTCCATGTCTGACCTCTGGTCCCTAGAGAAGAGACTCACGTGGAAACGGCTCTGATGCAGCAGCGAGACATGTTGAGGAAGGAGCTGGCACTGGCCCGCGTGTGCAGGGCAGACTCAATCCCCCTTAGTAAGTCATTGGTCTTCAGCAGCAGCAGCATCTGGCGGGGGACGTTGTTGAGGAGCTGGGTGATCTGGGGTAGGTAAGCAGCAGCGTTGGACCTGATCTCCACATCCTGCGGCCAGCCGGGTCATGTCAGGGAGAAAGAAGAGAGAAGCTGAGAGTGCATGAAAAATCCAGGTCCAGATGCAGCTGAGATTTGGCAGGAGGAAATGGAGTTTTTCTAGACCATGACTCTAGGCCAGAAGCTAAAGAGCTTTTTGTCCTGCTTTCCTGCAGACACTTGGCTGTCCCAAGCACTCGTAGCACAGTCACAGATCACTCCTGCCATATCCCACCTGCCCCCCACTGAGATAAGGCCCTGTCCCCTCACTGGCAGGATTAACAGCCTCTCAGGAGAACAGGGCACTTGCTGTTATCTCAGTTCCTGGCCCCAAGCAGCCCACAGCAGCTGGGTCTCACTGTTGCCCTTGCATCCTTCTGAGACTCACCCAGCTCCAAAGCTGGCAGAGCTGCAGGTAGCACAGCACTGCTCAGGAAGGTGGAAGCATCCTGCAAGGACAGCCAGGCTTCTCCTTGTCTTGCTGTCCCATGTGACTGATGGCTTTACGCTATACTGATAAAGCTGTTTCCAAGGCCTAGTTTAGTCCTCTGTCCTCAACACAACTCAGCAGAGGCGAGAAAACATTATGCAGTTAAGCATCAAACTAACCCAAAAGATCAAAAACTGCCATCTGTCAGATTAAGGGTCTATCTAGATGCATATTCTGTCTGGCAGCAGCCAGTAGCAGACACTTAAGGGCAGAGTGTAAGATCAAGGCAGGCAGAGGGTGATCCTTCTTGTTCCTTGGTTCCCCAGCTTCCAACAAATATGCTGCCCACAGTCAGATCCCAGCAATAACTGACGGGCTACAGCCTGAGCCTCTTAAAATGGGCTTCCCTCCAAACGTGAGCCACCATCTCATGCAAGCCAGCCAGCCTCCACTCTTTTTAGATCTGGTGAGAGTTCCCCCACCATCCCAGTAAATGTAGCAGAGCGTGGTGTGGAGCTGATCCCATACGCATACCATGTCCCTACCTCTTCCTACAGCGGTCATGACATAAATCAGCAAATCCAAATAGAAGTCCCCGAAACATCTGAAATCTCCAGAATCCAGTGGGACACATGCAGAGGGCAGTAAATGATGTCTGACAGGAGGGAGGCTCCTTTGCGGAAAGGACAGTTCTAAAACCCTCTCTCCTCTGGAATGAGGGACAGCCAGCCTCTATTTCACCATATGGGATCTCACGCTCACTCTGTGAACTTCAGACTTATTATAAAGGAACAGACCTGCACAAATCAAGCGTGCAGGTTGTGGGGGTCAGAGATATGTACAGCTCACACCACCACAGTTGCTTTGCTGCTGACAAATAAATCTTTGTGTCCCTCTGCCTCCATCACTGACCAAATGCACAAAGCTTCAGCAAGAAGATGCTTAGCTCTCCTAAATGTTTAATGGTTTGTTCCACTATTTGTTGGCAGTAAATTCCTCCCTTATTATCCCCTTATCCCTTATCCTAGCCAGCATCACTGCACAGCCCACTTTATTTTCCACACATAGGTTTTCTTTTCTATTTCTTTTCTTTTTATTTTTAGCTCCAGCTGCTTGTCCACATCACAAAACAACCACATGATCTGTCATCAGAGCTGTCATTTTCTGTCAAGGGTGAAGCCTGTGCGCAGAGGAAGAAATGAGGACCTGCCACAGCACCTGAGAAAAACCCCTTGGCTGCAGTCGCCAAGGCTGCTGCAGGATGCAGCACAGCACCATCATAAAACGAGATGAGATGAGGCCAGCAGCCACCCTGAGCCTTGGCTTAAGGCAGGGACAACTACACCTATGGCGACCTTCACACATTTGCCTGGTCTGCTCCTAAAACTCTCCAGTGGTGGGACTCAAAACCTTCCCAGACCATCTGCACCAGCATTTATTAGATCTGGCTTTTCTCATGTTTAACCCCAAACTCCTTAGCTAAACTTAAACCCATTACTTGTTGCCCTGTTTGCAGCAGTCTTTAACAGATTTGAAAATCACAACTACAGCTCTTCTCAACCTGCACTTTTCTGGACTTTTTCTGGCCCTAACTTGCTCAGACTTGCCTCATGGGTTGCATCTGCTTGACCAGTAGTTCTTGTAGCTTCCTACTGGACTCGCCCCAGTTTCACCAAACCTTTCTTGAGATGCAGTGCCCCAGGCTGGACACAGCACCACTTTGTTTCAGAAGGGCTGCTTCCTTGTCTCACAGGCTACTCTCATGTCCATACATCCTCAAGCGAGCTCTCTGGAGCTCTGTGCTGATGGTACCTGCCTACCCAGGGCTTGGCTCTTGCTGCTGATACAATCTTTCAAATTCACCTCTAAAATAAGGGCAAGCAGCAGCTCATTTCCTAATGCCACAGCAAATCTGCTCAGCTCCCCATTATCTGCTGCGGGATTATCCAGTTTCAGCATTAATTGTGTCATGTAGACAAAGACAGCAGAGCTGGCTCCATACACGCAATTCAACTCAGTGACAAAGTTCATTAGCTCACACAAGGCACCGTGCGGCCGCAGTTACACCTCTGGCATAACCTTCACAAGCCAGTTTAGCATAAACATTACTTATTAGCTCAGATTCAACACTGGCCTCGTAGTATTGGAGCCAGCTCTGCGTTGATTCGCTTTGGTGCCTCTTCATTTTTTTTCTGGAGCTACCAGCTCCAGAACTCACCAGATCAAGCACAGATCTGCTAGACAGTCACTATATTATTTCTGATATCCAGAAAATTAACTCAGATAGGAAGCAAACAAATTACAGGGGGGGTGGGGTGGGGTGTCCATTACTCAAGGTATCTGACTGACTCATTGCGATGGGTAATGGCAAGCCAGTGCAGCAAATTCTGCCACATCCATCAAAATGAAACATCAACCCGAAGGAATTTCCAGGAGAGAATATTGCAGGACAAGATTATAACGCTGCTTAAATAAATGTCATCCTCTCCACTACAAACCATAGGATACAACGTGTTTCTACCCACAGAGGCTAGTCCACTGGCTGAATATATCACTACATGCTCATCTCCAACAGCAGCACAGTCGTCGGGGGCTGCCCCTGCTCTTAAGGCAGCGCCTGCATGTCAGGAGCGCAAGGAGGCGTGAGAAAGATCCCAGCATGTGTGGATAGGAAAGGGTGGAGAATGTAAGTGGCAATTTCCTAGATTTGTAGTGATTGAGTTGACAGGATCCGCAGTTAAGCAACCTTGACTCCAAGTTAATAGGGTTTCTGATTGGGAGGTAATTTCCAAGGGTTTTTAGGAGTTTGTATCAGTGCTGATAGTCATTTACATGAATAGTGATAATGCATTATCCTTCTCATGTCTTCCCACTAAGCCTTTATGTCTCCTCTACCTTAACCTATCCTCCTTGATGGCTCCCTGCACAGCTGCATTCAACACATTTTTTAAGAAAAGGCTGATCTACAAATGTTTCCCAGTCAGAACTGGTGAACACTTAGCCATTAAAATATTATACAAAATTTAAGCAGCCTGTGACAGGTGAAACTGGGAAATTAAGTTCAGCCACTATGAAACACACTGCAGAAGGAGTCCTGGCTTTTTCTAGCTCAGCTGTCAATGCAGAATTTGCTAGAGAGCTGCCAGGGGTCGCCCAGCATCGCTGTGGTATCGGTGGTGCAAGCAGCTACAACAAATCATAGAATCATAGAATTGCCCAGGCCGGAAGGGACCTCCAAAGGTCATCTAGCCCGACCCCCCCGCAGTCAGCAGGGACACCCCCAACTAGACCAGGTTGCCCAGGGCCTCGTCAAGCCTCTCCTTGAATATCTCCAGGGAAGGGGCCTCAACCACCTCCCTGGGCAACCTGTTCCAGTGCTCCACCACCCTCACAGTGAAGAACCCTCTCCTAGGGGTAGGTACTCGAGGAGAAGGAGGGCACATGATGAGGAAGGGCACGTGGGACCTACCTCGCTGGCCGAGACTGGCAACCGGTCAATGCCCCTGTTGACGGACTCCCAGGACCTGGCGGTGAGCATGCAGGCAAAGAGAGGGTACAGATCCCCCGCCCCAAGCCTCCGGCTGTACTTCTGCACTCTCTTCATATCGGCCTTGATGAGGGCCTGCCAAAGGCGGCAGTAGTCCATGCGGAATGAGTCGCTCAGCACCTGGGGAAAGAGACATGGCCCCCAGGAGTCCACAGAGGACAGGGAACTGGTGTGGGGGGGAAAGACTTGAACCCCTAGCAGTGCCCTATCCCACTTTTCAGAGCCAGGAAATATCCTTGTAGGAATTTCAGGAGTAGGATATACAGGAGTAAAAGGAAAAACTTATTCATATGGGCCTCACAAGGCCCTGGAAGCCCCCCATAGCTACATACCTGGTAGAGTCCGTGGTCCAGGAGGATAATGTGGGCCTTGCCAGAGGCTGGGCACTTCTTCACTAGGACGTTGCCTGGGTGCGGGTCACAGTGCACAAAGCCGTTCACAAAGATCATTTCGCTGTAGAGCTTCCCCAGGTTGCGAGAGATCTGTGAGGAGACAGAAGATGTCCACACACTGCCACCCAGAGCAGGGTGCCTGCTGGGGAGGGGAGGCAGTGCCCGTGTGCCAACACTGCAGGGAGCAAGGGTCTGGTACATGCTGATGTCCCTACACAGAGCTTTGGCAGCTCCTCACACTGACAAATACAGCAGCTTTCCAGTACCTAAAGCGGGCCTACAAGAAAGCTGGGGAGGGACTTTTTATAAGGGCATGTAGTGATAGGGCGAGGGATAATGGCTTCATACTGGAAAAAGGTAGATAGAAAAGGGCATGCTCTAGTGCCCAAGATTATAGGTTTGTGGTGGGGTATAGTATGTGGGGTTGTGGGTGTGGGGTTTAGTTGGTGGGTGGTGGTTTTGGGTTTGCTGTTTTTGTGGTGGTTGCGTGGTTGTGTGTTTTTTTGTTTTGTTTTTTTGGTTTCGTTTGGTTTGGTTTTTTTTGTGGTTGGACTCAATGATCTCGGAGGTCCCTTCCAACCACTAAGATTCTGTGATTCTGTGATTTAGATTAGATATTAGGAAGAAATTTTTCACTCTGAGGGTGCTGAGGCACTGGAACAGGTTGCCCAGGAAGCTGTGATGCCCCATCCCTGGAGGTGTTCAAGGCCAGGCTGGATGGGGCTTTGAGCAACCTGGTCTAGTGGGGGGTGTCCCTGCCCACGGCAGGGGGGTTGGAACTAGATGATCTTTAACCTAAACCATTATATGAAATGCAGAGGGTCACTGCAGGCATTTACCACGGGATGACCCAGGGAATTTAGGGAAGGATCCATGCAGGGGGCACCACGAAGGTGTTCATGGGATCAGGGGTTATTTAAGGACACCTGCCTGGCATAAAAAAGAGAAAGTACCTGTGGGTACAAATGGGTTTTCTGGTAATTAGGAGTAAAGTGAGATGGCAGACAAGGGCAGACAGGCATTCACAGGAAAGGCATGGAAAGAGCTGCTGGGGTGGGTGAGAGACCTCTTGGAGGAAGAATCAGGTGTTTCCATCCACGGATGGCAGCAGGACCAGCAGAGAAGGGGTAGGAGGAGACTCAGCCTGTCCATCAGCTTACCAGAATGAAGACAGGTTCCCTCTCCCCTGACTCCATCACACTGTCCCCAACTTTCCCCCTTACTTTCCTCAGACCCACACTAATCTGATTTGCAATGTCGGTGAAGATGAAGCAGCACAGAAAGGCTGTTTAAATCATCCTGTCACTTCTGTGTCCCCCCATGCCACTGCTCCTTATCACCAAGAGATGTTATTAAAGTTAAAAACCTCCTAGGAGCAAGCAAACATCCCCAGGGCCCAGAATCAGTCCCTCGCCATGCACTAACACAGCGCATCCCACTGCTGTCCCTCCCTGCCATCAGAGCACAGCACGGTGCTCCACAGCGGAGTGCTGAACAAGCAATTAAAAGACAATCGTTAGAAATGATTCCAAGCATGTCCCCAGACACAGTGTAAGCAGGAAACAGGCAGCTGTCCCCATAAGCAGAGGTGGCAGAAGAGGTAATGGGGATGCTAACGACAGCTTGTCCTGCAGAAAACGGGACAGCCAGGGAAGGGCTTGCTATACCCACCTCTGAGAAGGACATTTGTTATGAATAGCGCCCAAGTAGCTACAAATGAGGAGAAAGAATGGGAATCCTTCCTGCAGCACACCAACAGGAACAGCTGCAGGACCAGGTGGGACAACCCTCTGTTCCTCCTGTGGGACCTGGAGCCACTGCTGAATCATGGAGAATGCTGCCCTCATGCAGAATCACCCACCCAGGTGGCACAGCACAGCTATGCCGTCTCCTGTAGTGCAGCTCCCCTAGTGCCACGCTGGTGTTACTTTAAGTACTGACTAAGGAAAATGATGTTTCTCTTCTGAATCACCAGTAGAGATCACTGGAGCAACGAAGTCACCCTTACAGGCCTCCCAGATTGCTCTAAAATTGGATAGGACCAAAGTACCAGGTGCTGTGACCTCCTAGAAGAGCTGAGTAGCACTTGTTGACAGTTCAAGGATGTGACAGATAGTCTGTTTTAAGCCAGTCACTCATTCCCACAGCCTCCCAGGGACCTGGACACCAAGAGGAATAGACTTTGACATTATAACTGATCATAGCATCAACCACAACACCTGTGCAAAATACATTTTGCCCTCTCTGCCTCAGCTGTTTGCCCTCCAGGGACCTGGAAGACCACAGAATTACTGAAGATGAGGATCTTAGTGGCAATCTGGAGCACAACATGATGCCTCATACCCATTAAGCACAAGTCCAGACAAGGGATGGCAGTTCTGAAAACCAGTTGGTTGGTCATGGCTAAAGCCTGGAAAGCTATTAATGTGGACAACTGGAGTATGGGCTATTCCAAAGACAGCAGATTCTCCTTCTGTGCTGCAGTAATGGCATAGGTTGGGAAAGTCAAGCAGTGGAACAAGTTGCCCAGAGAGGTTGTGTGAACTTCATCCTTGAAGGTTTTAAAGACCTGACTGGGTAACACCTTGAGCAAGCTGGTGTGGCCTCATAGCTGACCCTGCCTTAGCATGAGGTTTGATAGGCGACCTATCAAAGGTCACTTCCAACCTCAAATATCCCTAGCATCCTACAAAAACACCTCTTACCAAGTTATCCATGCCACCCTCATAACAGCACCTTATGGTATGGCCATAGGCTCCATGTGCATGGAAGGTCTCCCATCCTGAGTCAAGAAGCTCAGGATTCATTTTCCCATCTTACCATGAAGACAGAGGGGTCACAGCCCTGTTCAGACCCACAGGCTGGGTCATAAGTACAAGACAATCTTCACTGCAAGATCCCCATCCTCTCTCCCTTTCCTGCTGTACTTATATTTATGTCTTCCCCAGCATGCAACCTTGAGTATCTGCATTAGTTAATTCATTGAAACTAGATTTTACGGCTTCTTTAAGAAAGAGAAAGGAATTCTGTATCATTTAGATAGCATGCAGAAGATATGTTACAGGGATTTATGACATAAGCATATAAACAGTCTTTACTTTTGGGGAAAAAAAATGACCCAGTGTAAGAGATGGAGCCATGCTGCACACTAAAGTATTTTCACATATTTTTGGCTGTTGACATACCTCTAAAATAGGATAAAAATTAAATTAAGATAGAAAGCACCAATACTGTTGAATTCTAAACAAAAAAGAAAGGTTATATTTCTAGGGCTTAAAAAGTAATATGTGAATAGCGACCTATCATTATAATTCCAGCAAAAGTAGTTCACGTTTCTAGACAAAAAATTTAGGAAAAAGACATTAAACTTTTATATGTATTAATTCTGTGGTACTGTGCCCCATCACTATGGGCCTTTATTCCATCCTTATTGAGAAGGCCATTGGATAAATAACATACACAGAATTCACTTTGGAAGAATGCAGTTAGGTGAAATGAGAAAACAAACATGTGAAAACCTCCACTCAGGAGAAAGGAGGAATTCAGCATGTATTTAGGCTGCTCAGGGTGAAGGTACATCCCAAATTAGTCAAAAAGTTGCAGTGATTTACAGCAGCAAAGACCAAAGTAAACACACAGGCATTTTGTTATGACATGGAGAGGTCATCATTCCTCTCCCTGTTTATCATCCAACAAAACAAGGTCCTTATCATTACCAGGGTCGCCCAGTATTGTTCTACTGCACATTGTAAAAAAATAATAATCACCCTTGGAATCCTGCATTCACTTCCAGACACCTCATTAAAAGAGAGATGCAGACTACACAGAGTGTGTTCAGAGAAAGAAAATAAATGAGCAGGACGCAGGAGGAATTTACTTGGGAAAAAGATTAAAAGAGCTGAAGATTCTGAAGTTGGCTAAGGAATGGCAGAGGAAGGGCAGTCTACCAACGTTAGAAGGTTTGAATAGCAAGGGAACAGAAGCACTCGTAGCACTGGATGTGCTACAACAAATGCAACTAGGCAGAAGGGGGTGTAATCAAGAATGGCATCATTTAGGCACAACACATAAGAAAAAAACCCTATGCTAGTCAGCAGGTAGAGCTCAGCTTGTTATGTCACGATGACCCCCGACTCTGGCTCTGGTCAGACGCATATCTTGCCTATTGCCAGAAGGTGCATTAATGCCCAAAAGCAGTTCAATTTGTGCATCTGAGCTGCAGCAGAACATGAAGACTGTAGTCACCAAGTGAGCCTGTGGCCTCACCAGTCGATGCAAATAGCTACCTGCCATTGCCACATTCCACGACACGACCATGACACTGTGTCAGGCAAACTGCACATTTTCAGCCCAATGTTTTCATTTTGGAAAAAAACGTAGCTGAGGAATAAGCAGATTAGAGACAATGAAATAGAGAGCCAGCAGCCTGGTCAAAAACAGCGGAGTGACAGATACATGTAGAAGAGCCAGACTTGGAGTAACTCTTCACCAAACCAAGCACGTGCAGTTCATTTTATGTACTCAACATGGCAAGGATGCTACATGTCACAAACTATCCTGCGTGTTGCAAGTCAATGCAGAAGAAAATAATGCAGTGCAGACATTAAGGATTGTTACTGCACAGTATCACTTAGTCTCTCTATAAACTGATGAAGTTCACTGGAAATAAGTAGAAAGCTTGACTTGTAGGCTATTGCAAACATTCACTCTTTAGATGGTCAGAACCTTTCCTCTAAATCCCAGACTAAGTACAATGATGTCCAGTTTAAATAATTTTATTAGTTAACATAATCCTAGAGTTTAACTAGTTCCTTCCCTCTTCAGTATTTCCTGCTCCCATGTGTTCACCAGTAAGATAATTATCAGCATAAATGCAGCATAAATATGGCCCCATTTCTACAGGATGCTCCTTTATTTGATGTGTCCTAAGAGTCAACCCGCCTTTTACACAGTCGCACTGCACTGGAAACACACACTTACCCTGCAATTGACTGATATCCTAAAGTTAATTCTAATATGTCACTTCCCTCTGATAAACTCCCAGCATATTTAAGAAACTCTTCTTATTAGTTTTTAAGTGCATGGCTTTT